CAGTTATTTGATATTGTTCATGTTTGCTTGACCAATTTTTGGATTTGTGATTTAGCCTCCCAAAGTGTTGGTTGAACTTTGTTGGGGTATCGTTCTTCTACTTTCTTCCAATTTGAATCTTAGGGATTGCAGTATATATGATTTTTGTAAGTGACCTCACCGTGCTGCGCCTGAGCCAACAAACTTGTACACACCAACCGCCAACAGCCTTGGCTTCCCAGGAGCAGCAAATCGATTCAAGAAGTTCAAGCAGGGACACAAATCCATGTTCCATTTGGACATGCGGCAAATTGCACACCACGCGCTTTGTTTCATCATGTTTCCCTCTTTGAGACCAGGTGGTCCAGCATACATAGCAATTTACAGTAAATACTTGTAGGTGAAAACGTTGTGACGTCGCTCATGTGAAGGAACGTGCTGCTGGCTGCAAACACGGCCTAGTCTGAACTCCAAACATTATCACATCTTGGTTGCAATTGATTCCTCCGGTCTTTACATCTCAGCGGCAGAACTGTGAGGATGATCGTCAAAACCAAGTTCTTGAAGCCTGCCTGACATGTAGGCTCGTGTTCTTTGAGAGTTTTAAGCATCAGGCATCGTGAAAGCTGTTGTGGGGATAAAACGCCTCCCGAGACGCAGTCTTCGAAGCAGGCGTTGTCGCGTACCTGGGAGAAATTCAATCTGACTTGGTTCGGGCACAGGGGACCCTGCCAATACCTCAAACATTTTCATTCAGTCCACCTTGCCGGGAATGGCTGTGATGCTATTGTTTCTTGAATCAACTCGAGTGTCTTTCCATGCACTGTTTCCTAGCCTGGCCTTGTGCTAGAGTTCGTTTCACTGCTTTTTGTTGCTGCCGTATTGGTTTCTACTTTGGGAGCTCCTTGTCCACTGTTTTTGTTTTTGAGAAGCCCTCTGTGCGTGTCTTGCTGCATTCTGCAAATGAGCGGTGGTGCTCTGACCATGGCTCTAATCCGTACCTTGCAGCGTTGAAATGCGCAGGCTGGAGGGTGCCTCTAGACTCTAGCTGGTTCTCAGCCGATGTCATCTGTTCTCTGTTTGTTTTTTCTGGTCTCAGTTTGCCTTTTGTCCGTCCTGGGTGTCTGGCTGCTTGGCTGGCTGGCTGGCTTGCCTTGCTTGCTTGCTTGCTTGCTGCCCTGCTTGCGCCCTGCCGGCCTGACTTTATTGTGTTCTTCCCTGCTAGCTCTGCAAAACAAAATTCACAAGCATTCCCCAGAAAAAGCATGAGGTGCACATTCTTTCACGAACAAAATGTAGATGATGCTGTATGATGATGTTAAGACAAGTTAAGACTTCTTCATTGATGGCATGGACTTGTCAAGGCAGTTGACTTATTTCAGGGCACATGACTGCGCCCACCAGCCAAAGAGGTGGGAAAAGCACGCCCACTGCACAAATGATTTGTTGACATCGAGGATTGTCATCCTGGAGGATTGACAAAGGCTCGATTCTCACGCCAGTGCGTGAAGCCTCCAGCCTCCGGATGAATAGAACCCAGCTCGCAGTACTTACACATGTGCGGCTTTTTGAAACCATACAAATAGTTTCTCATACGGTGGGGCCAAATCTGGTTTCAAAACATCTACAAGAACGCACATGGCATGGAAGAAGAAGAAGAAGTGCCTGGCGCATTGCCTTGCTTCCTCATCGCTCATGGTCTGGGCTCCTCATACACCGCCAAGCGGTCTTGAAGTTTGGGCCGGTTCCTGGCAAGGCTTTCGGACCAGCAATTCTTCATCAAATACCAACAACTGGCAGGTCTTGACCCACCCAACTGATCACAAAAAACAGACCGGATCGAACAGTTTGCAAATGATGGAAAATGTCCACAAAAATTCCTTTGGTTCGGACCTCTTCCAATCTCCACATTCTGACAGAACTCTTGGCAAAGACCGCTCCCGCGAATTGAACTTGAGAGAGGAGGGGGTGAATGATGGTGAATGAAAGGTAGCAGGCAAGGCGCAAAGGCACCAATGAGGCACCCCCCCAAAATCCCACGTTCTGTAGCCGGCGAAACGCAAACCGATGAGGTGCAGCAGGGGGATTTGATTCAGGGGGCCCCCCCCTATGATGAAAAATCTTTCCTCACAGAGCCAAACTCATCCACAATCCCAACTCCAGATTGTAATACTTTTTGCTAAAGCAAGGAGAACTGGTAGCTGAAGCTACCTTTCGTGAAAACTCTTGGCAAAGACCGCTCCCGTGAATTGAAAAACTCAGTTGACCAAAAAACACGGTGGGAAACGCTGGCACGCTCCAGCCCTCCTCGGCCGATCTACACTGAAGGACGAACTGCCAGAAGACTTCCTGGCATAAGGAATTGCAGCCAGAGTGAAAAATTTCCTAGCAAAGTAGCAAGGACGCTACTCCCTACTATATACTAGGAGCAAGAAGCTACTAGGAACAAAGGGCATCGCTACTAGGAGCAAGGACGCTACTAGGTCCTCCCATCACACAGTGAGTCGTGTGAAGGCACACCCATCACACAAAGTATATATATATACTCACAGTAATTAAGTCAGGACATCTTTCTGACCTTTGGCGACATGACGCTCAACTGGGTAGGGTACGGTACTACGGTACGACCCAAAATCGCCAGGGCCACGTGGGCAAATCCACAGGTGCGGCGTTGCCAAAAACTTGGGGTGTGGGCGGCGTGTACCTGGAGCAATGTGCGCTGGCTGGCTACTTGCTCGGACGATAGTGACAACAGCTACAGCGGCCAAAGTATGACGGCAAGAATGCAAAGTCAAGCAGCTTTTCTTCATTGGTGTCCCAAAAAACTGGATCACATTTGCGAGTGCATCCTGTGGTCACGAGACTGTCTCGTACTTCGGCCGTTTGGGCTTGTTGCTCATCCCCTGCGGACTGAATCAGCCAAACCATACATTCTTGTTGTGGGTTTTGATTGAGATTATTTGAGATAATTCATACGAGCAGCCCAAACAAGAATGCCGCGCGGGAGTCGTGGTCCGAATGGCACTCGCCCCCGTCTTTGGTCAGGTTAGTTGTCTGTGCAATTCAATTCTGGTTTTGCACGCTGTAAGGGTGTTTGCAGGTGGTCCGATATAGCAGTGCTGCTGTCAGCTAGTCGTGCATGCTCGCTTTGTTCGTGCGAATTCTTGCAACATTGCATGTTCCTTTTGCAAGGTAGATGGGTGTCATGGCTACAAAAGAAGCAAGCTGAAGGTATTTGAGCAGGATGCCAGCAAAAAAACATTACAAAACGCGTGTCTCTGTCTGTCAAAATTCAATTATATAAGCCACTCTCAATGCCTGGGTGAGCCACTCTGATTGTGTACTCCACTGCTTCACTGACTTCTCTTTTGAGTCCATTCCTAGAAGTCAATTGCTTGAAGCAAGGGCCGCAGCCAGCTGGGCACATAGCCACCTTGAAGCTGTTTCAAGGCTGACAATCTCTGTGTTCTTATTGCTCTTTGATCATCTGTAAACTGTAAACTACTGGCACCAGCGCAAGCCTGAAATTCACAGCAAACAATTCTTTGCTACTCATCGCCTATCCACCATACACTCACTGCTCCCAAAAACGACTGAGCACAGCACAGTATGAAACACAACCAAAAGGAATTTGGAGGAGTGTGATTTGCAGCTGTACTGTTCTGTATCCTTTCCACTATTTTCCAATTGACTTGTGAGTGCCAACTGGCCTCCTAAAATGAGGATGAAAATCAGGAGGAAGGCAAGGCCAAAAACACCAATTCCAAGGATTCGGAGCCTTGGAAACGACAAGGAGCTTTCTTTTTTAAATAATGAAAGAAACAACGCGGAAGAAAAACGACACACTTTCCCACAAAGCCACTGATATGTGTACATATATATATATAATGTATATATCACCAAAACACTTGAGGAGTTATATGTGGTCACGCCCTGCCACTTTTACGTTACAATGTTTTGCATAGCTACACTCAGCAACAAGTGCCACAAAAATGCACAGTATCTGATTAATTATATCTGATCGTGACAGTCAGTTGCTTACGGGAGTTTCTATTGAGTGTGCGACCATCCTTTCGTGGACCTTGGCAGCTATGTGATCCCTCATGACTCATGCCTGATCCAATGCACAAAGCTGGATTTGAGGCATGCACCCACCCCAGCGTTCCCTTGGCTGAAAGATGCCGAAAGGTATAGCAAAGGCAAGGAAAGCTCAAAAACACGTGCACGCGACGCTTGTGGTGACAGGGTCTCATGCACCCAAGTCTCTCTGATGCTTTCCGCACTTCATCCTCTTCCACCTCCAGCTCCAGTTGGGGCACCTTAGAGGTCTCACGTCTCCATGAACTGGAACCTTTGCACATGGAAGAATCTCATCCACCGTGACCGCAAGGTCCTATGACAAACTTACAAAACAACCATAGCCAAAGCGATCAAGCCGATCAAGCACGTGCTTGCGAACTGCAGTGAAGCTCTTTCGCCCAGAAGTCTCTCGGCCCGTTTTAAGCACCCCTACGTTGACCCCTTCTTTTTTGTTGGCACTCCTGATGTGCGCCTGAAACGTCTCAAAAGCTGTTCCTGATGTGTAGGAATGTCATGGAATATGTCAAGGCGGATTGGTGAGATGAGGGAATCTCTGAATGATGCAAAGCGAAAAAAAAAATCCCCTTCGGGTTTGCAGTCGGTGTGCTATATAGGTGTGCTGCCCATGAACAAATAAACAAAAATTAAACAAGTATTCTGGCCCTATGAGAGCCAACACCAAGTAATAAGGACAAGTGCTGCACTTAATGCAAGCATTGTATCTCAGCACCGTGTAATGTACTGTATGTTGCTAATTCGTTTCTCTCTGCTCAGGTCCCAACCTGTCTTTGCGGCAGGGAGGCCAAGCCTCATGCCATGTGTCTCAGAGGAAGAATCCCCAACATGCAGCTCTTGTGCTGTCGAAATGATTGCAATGTTGGACTCCGTCTGTAGGTCTTAACTTGTGAGCTATGCAAGTCACCTGTATCACGCTGCGATTCTTTTGCTTCCATTCCATGAGCACCCATCCCTGAATCGCTAAGAGAATCACCGAGAACCACATTCTATCACTAAAACGATAGTCTTGATTGAGCCTCTATACAGCCGCTTGGCTAAGGAGGCGGAAAATCCGCTTGAAACTCTTCGTGCAAACATCTACATTCCACTGCAACAGCTCCAAGAAGTTTGCCTCGAGATGTTCAAGCTCAACTAAAGTCACACGTCCTGCTTCGGCATAGCAAGTCGCATCAAGGTCCGGCTCCTGCATCTTTGCTGTGATGGTGATTGCTGCAAGGAGCAATCGACGGACCGTGTAGGGGCTCAACTCTACCACTCCAGCATTCAACTCAGACATACGGCACATGTACACAAAGGCGTAAACAAAGTACACTGGTCGGCAGGCGGCATCCCTGTGCAAGCTCCAAATGAAATCTTCAATGTTACATACTTCACTGGAGTGAAAGCACGATTCACCATGATTCATCTGGTTTTCTGTGAAGGTCTCTCCCACGGCCTTTCGCAAGGCACGTCCAAATCCCTCAATGATCTTCTCTCCGATGGGTGCTGGCCGAGACCCTGTCCAGGCCCAGGCATAAGGGGTTGCGCTCCAAGCCTGAAGATTGCTGAGACGCTTCTCTTCGCTGCTCTCAGATGTGGCGGAAGCATGGAAGGGAGGAGCGTGGTCAAGGTCTTCCTCATCTGTATGTGGCCACACTGGAGTTGCGGTGTCTGCCTCAATGTCAGTCTCAGCCAAGGAGCCGCCGGAACAGTTGGTCTCTTGAGCGCCAAGGTCTGCATCACTCAGAAAGTAGTACGGAACATAACCGCTGAAGGAGTGAGAACGCTGGAACTTCTCCTTGCCTGCGTCAGCATAGTGGAGGATTGTAGCGCTCAGGGGTTTCAAACGAGGCTCGATTGGAATCATCTGTAAGGTTCTAAAGGTCGCCTAAAAATCTAACTGGGCACCCTCTTTCAAGGGCGAGCACGTTACGGCTCGCGGTGCCCCGGCTCGGCCACTGGTGGACCCTTCAGCCAGAACAGCATGCGACAGGACCAAACATAAATGCAGCACACTTGTTTGTCTAAACCATGAAGCATTAATTATATGTCATTATCAATACACAGTTACACTGTTAGCCGTTAGCCCTGCTAAACTTCTAAAACAAAAACAACGAAACCGAAGCTCCCGCTCTCACCCTCTTGCTGGCTGTGAGCCTCTCTCTTCAAATGCTGCCAAGATGCTATTGGAAATGCTTGACACGAAGGTCTGATAGCAAAGTTCAAGCCATGTGAATGCCAAGGGCAAAGCTTGCAACTTTTGTGCCAACCCTGCATCTCAGCTGGTCAATCCTTGCTCCAGCCTGTGTGCATTGCGCTAGGAGAAGGCAGGAAATTGCCACAAACAGCCTGGGCCGGGCTCAGCTTAATTCTTTAAAAAAAATCCAAGAATCAACATTTGTCCCAGGACCTGGCGCCAATTCTAGCCCAATCCAAGCCTCTTGAATCTGACTTGAGAGGAGGGAGACACGAAAGGTAGGACAGCGGGAAGAGAAGAGAACGCGAGAGGCAGGAACAAAAATGCAATGTTCGACATGGTGATTTATCCCCTCGGAGGCGACCTTTCGTAAATATAAGTTCATATGCACTCTAAATGTTCAAACATATGCTCTCGAAATGTTCAAAAAGATTCTTAGGAAAACAAACTTGCCCCATGGCTCAGATAATCGGTGAGCATTGGCATCATAGGATTTGAACTATCCTGAAACCATAAGAGGCTCACGAAGACGTTCCCCAGGAGAGAATTGACGTGCTTCACAAAACAAACAGTAGGTATGTATCCCCTCGGGGAACACCTTTCGTGATTAGAATTTCATATGCACTCTTTCTGAAT